ATCATTCTTGTCGCTCTTCTCTGTACCCTTTCCAATTTCTCCACATCTTTCTTGAAATGTGGGGCCCAGAACTGGACACAGTACTCCAGCTGAGGCCTAACTAGCGCAGAGTAGAGTGGCAGAATGACTTCACGAGTTTTGCTTACAACACACGTGTTGATACAACCTAGAATCATATTTGCTTTTTTTACAACAGCATCACACTGTTGGCTCATATTCAACTTGTGGTCCACTATGACCCCTAGATCCCTTGCCGCCATGCTCCTTCCTAGACAGTCGCTTCCCATCTTGTATGTATGGAACTGATTGTTCCTTCCTAAGTGGAGCACTTTGCATTTCTCTTTATTAAACCTCATCCTGTTTACCTCTGACCATTTCTCTAACTTGCTAAGGTCATTTTGAATTATGTCCCTATCCTCCAAAGAAGTCGCAACCCCACCCAGTATATCTAATGTTGACGTTGACAACCCAGCACCAACACAAAATTGGCTTTGCCACCACCACCTGAAACGCAACCCCCGCCTTTTCCATTTTTTTGAATGGGAAAATTGGCCCTGTATAGCACGTTTTCACTTAGCACAAACATTTTCAGAAACACATCTATAGTGTTAAATGAGGAATTACTGTATTTAACATGGCTCTCTACGCACCCAAGCAGTGCTCCCCGGTCTACACCACCGCGGTACAGTGTCCTGCTGCCTGAGCCTTTCCCTGTCACAGTGACAGGGAAAGTTTCCTAAAATTTAAGTCAACTCCTCTACAGTGTTTAGGAGTGCAAAAAAGCAATTCTTACTGCACAGGCATCTCAACTGAAGCCCTCTGATGAGTAGCTCTAGCAAATAGCAAAGCTTTGCTCCCATGTATCTTAGTGGTCTAGTGAGTCAGGACTTTATTAATTTTCTTTTAAAGCTGATCATTTAAAATTGGGTCTAAACTACTTAGTATATTTCTATGACTGACCGTGCCTGTTGTTTGTCCCTATGTTATGCTTTTGTATTATTTGCTTTTACTGCTAACAATCCTTATTCAAAACAGGACACTGGCTACAACTCCAGAACTGACACAGGTGCTACTACTAGTAGGGATGTTAAAATGCGTGTATTCAGGTAAACATGTAGACACTGAAAATTTCAGAAGTTACATATTTACGGGGGAGAGCTGATACAAAGGCAGCAGCACGGGCAGGGCAGCTGCACATAATCATGAAAGTTAACCAATGTAACCATTTGCACGTTTACACGTTCACATCCCTAACTACTAGTGAAAACTAAGCGCTATTGGAGTGGAAAGCAAAGGCTACCTAAATGAGATAATGTGTAACTTTAGAAACAATTAGTTGTGTAGCACCTTAGAGACTAACATACTTTTTTTTTGTCTCAAAGGTGCTACACAGCTACTCGTTTTTAAATGAGATAAAGTGAGGAAATGTGTAGACACTGCAGTCAGCAAACTGACTCCCTCCCAAATAAAGAAAACAACCCCAAACAGCAGCCAGAAGGGTGTATGGGGGAGGGGGGAACCAGTTCAGAGAAGATTTGTGTCAAGGAAAAGCCTGTAACATCAAAGGCAGTTTTGCTATTGCTAACTCACAAGTACAAGATAAAAGGGAGTGGATTCTCATCACAGAACAGTTGGCTATATGCACTCAAGCAGGGAGGTACAGTAGAAATGCAATCAGCTTTCCAGCATGAGTGTTTGGGAGGGGCCAGGCCAACTGATTGCTGACCCACGGATGTGCCCGTATTAGAATGTAATGCACACGCTCCAAGATGCTGGATTGCTTTGACAGACTCATCTGTTTCTCCAGCTGCAGGGTGGAGCACATCCCAGACCAACTATATCAGACTGGCTGGAACAACTCAAGCCGCAGCTGGCTAAAGGACAGGGAGCCAAGCAACTTCAGACACATCCGGTGGGTTCTGTGGGTTTGGACTATGGTTCAGAAGTGCACCTTTGTCTAGCTTGTAGGTAGAAAACACGCAAAACGGCAGGGAGCTGAGCCCTAAACTGGCTGACAGGTTGTCCTAGTCCTAGAAAGAGCAAGCTACTGTTTGTCCTATATTGAAACAGTTTCCCAAACCCAGGGAGCATCTGGCCCTGACAGGGTTAATTCACTGCTGGGGAGAACTAGAAAACTTGCTCACCTTTAAAGGGGTGCTCCAGAGACACAAGCTGATGGTTTGAAAGGCCACGTATGCAAGGCACTTCTCATTTGAGTGTTACGGGGAAAGCCCTGCAAATCCGCAGATATCCCCTGTATGTGCCCGGGTAGCCTCACCCACGGAGCGGCTTGTTTTTGCAGATACAGATGTGGATGCAAAATTTCCTATCCACGCAGGGCTCTACTTATCGTCTCCATGGGAATGCGAAGAGCAGAGCAGGACACAGCCCTAGCTCTGGGAACAGCCCTGCGCAGGCAAGGAGAGAACACATTTTCCATCCCATCCCAGCCTCCTCAGCTGAATTTCCAGGAGTCCGCAGGGTCTCACAGGAACACAAGTGGTTTGAGACTGGAGTGTGTTATTAATCAGCGGGTAACCACAGGCAGGGCAGATCAGAGCTCTAGCAGCAATAAACTGGAGACAACAGTCAAACTAAATGAGTACCCAATGCAACCTTTCAGAAAGTGTTGCTATTATGACAATCAAGGGCTTAAGGTCAAAAAATAAAGTATTCCTTTGGGTATCAGCATTCCCGGGCTGTTGCACTGCCTAGCAGCCAGCAACAGCCGCCCAGACCCAGCATGGTGCTCTGCATTATCCCCATGCCAGCACCGTACTCTGTACTACCCACAGTCTCTAGCACTGCATTCCCTGGTGTCCTGCAGCATTGTAACCCGAGCCTGCATCGTGCTCTCTTTTGCCCTGCAGTCTCTGCTTCCCTGCCCACGACGGACTGTCCATCTTCCCTTTCTTCGTTGTGACCCTCTCTTGCACCTTCTTCAATTTCCTCCCCTCGCGCTTTTGGAAACTCCCATGATGGAAACGGGCAGTCCCGCAAGTGCAGGGGTCAGCAGCCGATGGCTCCGGAGCCAGATGCGGTGCAGTACGGAACCAAATCCGGCTCGTCCGTCATTCCCAAAACACACACAACTTTTGACATTCAAATGAACAATGGATTCAACATTTTAAAAGAGCGTCATTACTCGTGTCAAGAGGGTCTGTTTTGGTCTATTTCACCTTGAACCAGAGGCGAAAGGAAGGCAGTGTGCCTGGATAAGAACCGGCTATGCCCCAGCAAGAACCAGCTGGGACACACTGCTCATGTGAAGGGCCGGCTGAGGATGTGCTGTAGGGGCGGGTGCATGCTCTCAGCTGGGATACTGAGAGGAGCTGGAGGCAGCAGATGCCTCCATCTGTCCGCAGCGGCCTGGCTCCAGCCCCCATCTGACAGCCATGGTCTGTCCCCAGCTGTCGTGCTCCTGGGGTAGACCCTGTGGCCCAGTCCTGGTGGCCCCGCAACTTCTACAACAGCCCGGCTCAGGTGCGGCCCAGCCTCGATCCTGGGGCAGTCCCTGCAGCCTGGCCCCCGTCTGGCAGTAGGAAGGGGCTGGCGGCAGCCCCCCTCCTGCTGCAGCACGGATAGGAGGGGAGGCCATGATCTGACTGCAGTGGTCCTGGCTTGGCCCCTCGTCCAGCCCTGCCCTGGCCAGGTAAGGTAATACAGCCCCAGAGCCTACCCCCCCATACTCTACTTCCCACCTCCAGCACCTTGTCGCCTGCACCTCCCACATATCCCAATCCCCTGCCATAAGCCCCTCATACACCCCAACCCTGACTCCTGCAGCCCCACATCCACAAACTGCACCCCCACCAGCAGCAGAAGTCCAAGTCCGTGAGTACAATGTTTCACACATGCGATTATTCATCATCAAGTCATTATGAAGTTGCATATTTTCAGCCCTGCAAATGGGCCGCCTTCTCCCGGCTTTTGTTGACCGCTGGTTCTGAATTTTGATGTAGACTGGCCCTTTGGTTTGAAAAGGCTGCCAACCCCCGTGCTAGCAGATCTCTGAACCCAAGCCCTTCTATTGTGGCTATTATATTTCTCTGGAACTGCTTTGAGGCTTTCAGCCACAGCCAGGCAAATGGCCACTCGAGATGTTAATTCCCTGACTATTGCTTAGAAACGGGACCTGCACTGCTAATTGTAGCATTTCACTGCGACCCATCACTATACACTCATTGTAATAAGGGTCATCCAAACTCACACAGCCAATGGGCTTTCTCCATCTCTCCCCCACCTCTGTTGTTTATCTCAGGCATCAACAAAGGGCCCCATAAAAAAATACTAAATACCAAACATGCAAGGGATTTGGACAGCAAATCCCAACCGGGAGCCAGTTTGAGATGCTCCCGAGCAGGACAGATTTTTAAAGCAATGAGCTTCACCATGACTTTAGCTATGGGATGCTCATTAACGACCGCGGAGTCCTGCCGCCAACATCTTGTGTAACTCTCCGAAAACATGTCAGTGCAGTGGTGGTTCGGCTAACCGCATTTCTCATGCACTAGGATGCTGGGAGATGGCCCTATTGTCATGTGGACTGAATGCGGCAGGATACGGGACGGGCTGCCCTACTTACAGATTGATAATGGGCACGTTGTTCAAGCCAAGGTCAGAGCGCATAAGAGCTTAATCGTAACGCTGTTTGGTCAGATCAAGACAGACACGCTCCGCTGGCTTCAAGTGCCTGGGATTTTTGTTTATCTTTCATGCTAGTGCTACGGTGACCCACATACTGCTTGGGGTGGCGTTCTTCCCGCTGCATCTCAGCCATGAAATGCACAGGGAGCAAGATCTGACAGGTCAACTGCCAAGCAAAACCGAAAGGGGCAAGGGCCAAGTTGTGGTCTCTGGCTACTCACAGGCAGCTCCTGGTGATGCCAGTGACACACGGAGCCCAAGGCTTAACAACTCGCCCTCAGCGAGGTGGTGTTTGGAATACCTTCCCCCCTTCCTCCCCGGCAGCTGAACGCTGAAGAGAATGCACAACGTACCTTGTGCCCTTGGTGCGACTGCCCAAAGAGAACCTCGGACACATCTGAGCCATCGAATCGCCGGTGGGGAGGGAGACTTGCCTTTGCCAGGGACACCAAGGTGGGGAAAATGTCCGTGGCACTGGAGCGAAGAGGAAGGTTTCATTAGAACACGGAGGCAACGTCCTGGAAAAATCCACACCCCTGGGCAGTTGCGCCTATCCCTCAGACAGCTCTTCCCAGGCCTGACAGGAACGCCAGAGCCCCTGGGGAATGCTGGAGTTCGATCCTCCCACTTATCGGAGCTAATGGTGCTTGGAAGTCAGGGCACCCATCCAAGAAGCTACCATAATCCCCAGCCGTGGCGAGTTGAATGGCCCAGCTGGCTGTCAGCATGCTCTGTGGAGGAGACGGAAATGCCTGGTAACCTGTATCGATTAGCACCCTTTTAAGCTAGCAAGCGTGTATGTGAGACAAGCCAGCACGTCTTACACAAATCAATGTGCCAAAGGACACAGCCGCTGGAAAGAGCCCAGGAGCGTGAGCCCCCCAGCGACAGGATGTGTTGGACAATTTCACTACTACATATACGGGAGAATGGGTCAAAATGGGCTTTGCCCAGCAGCCTTGTAGAACAGGGCCAGAGCTGTGAGGGAACATGGTTTCTCTCCAGGCACTTATTGGGCCTCCACACCAGTGTTCCTGAGAGAGACTGACCCCAGGAGAGATTTAGGGGGCGCCCAGCTGATTGGCAGAGCACTCACACCTGCGCACAGCATGTGTTTCCACTGGTGGTGCACATCCACATGCCTCAGCGCACATAATAAAATTTACTCTGCACATGAATGGAAAAAATTAGAGGGAACACTGCTCCCCACCTCTGCAGCATCTGAGCATCTCTCACTGCCCTCGATCAATGTGTCCTCATCTCTCAAGTGAGGGTAGGAAGCCTTATTGTCACAGATGGAGACCTAAGGTCTTGAAGGGTGTCTGTGGTAGGGAGTATCTTTATATTCTGTCTGTACAGCACCTAGCGCAACGGCCTTCAGGTCCACATCTGGGGCTCCTCAGTGCTACCTCAATACGCACAATAAGCAGGTGGGATTGGAACCTTAATTCTCTCAAGTGCCAGCCCATTGCCCTAACTCCTACATCAGCCATGGGCAACCGAGGCTAGTGAGAGGGCTGCAAGATTTTCATAACCCAGGATAGGGTAGTTTTGCTGACAGTGCTGCTGTACCTAGAATTTGCAGTGTGCCGACTGAACCGTAGCAGCGCTGTGACTAAACAGAGGGAACACACGACTTCCACGGCCAATGTTGTGTGCAATCAGCATGCACCTCACTTCACGTGCCCGCTTTATGGGCATGACAATTTAGAAATACCGGCAGGAAAAAACAGACATGGGCAGAAACCTGAAGAACCTGGCAACCCTGCGCGTGGGCAACAGTAAACAAAATGTCTCGTAGGCCACCCACAGAACCTCGGTGGATCACAGGTTGCCCACCACTGTCCCAACCTCCCTGCTGGCAGGGCTGAATATCTCCTTCCAGAAAGGAATTCACAAGCACTGCGGACACAGAGGAATCTTACAGGCCTCCAGGTGCTCGGATACCCGGAGTCCATATCAGCAAGGAAGCCGGCAAGGCAGCTGCAGGAGAGCCTCGTAACCCTTTCTGAAGGCCTCCTGGAAGGTGCCAAGTTACCCTCTGAAGGGAAAGTGCTAACTCAGTCACTTTTCACTCCACTTACGGCAGATCCTGTAGCCTAGGAAAATGTGGTCTCACTTATGCATTGCACAGAGAAGTCATAGACACCAGACTGGAAAATGAGAGCAGTGCTGTTTTGTGCATTTATACCGAAAAGCCGTCAGCATTTCCACCATCATCCTCTCTTCTCAGGGGTTTACAGCTCAGCCACAAAATACTGCTCTGGGCTAATGCTCAGTTATTCCATGTATTAAGATCCTGACCGAGAGAGAAGCAGGCAGTTCAGTATCCTGCCACCCAGGAGCTGCGCTGTATAGACCCCTAAGGCCAGGAAAGGGAAGGGCAGGAGTTTCTTCCTGCTGTTTGTGGACCGCAGCCAACTGTTAATGTGCCGATTGACACGAACATGGTCTGGTGAACTGAGCATGGGACTGGTACCAGGAATCACTGAGCTCCCGGCTCTGCTACTGACTTCTTGAGTAGCCTTGGGTAAGTCATTTAACCTTTCCAGGCTAAATTCACCGCTGTCAGAAGCAGGCACAACTCCAGTGAGATAAGAAGCAAATCCAGCTCTCCACCTTTCTGTTCCCCCTCATCTAACCCTCACTCTCTGTAGCTCTGCTTCTCTTCTAAACCTCCCTGTTGTGAAGCACAAATATGAACGCACTCCTAGGGATGTGAACGACTAGTTGACAGTCAACTAGTCGCTTCCCTCCCCCAGCCTCCATCTTGCTGCCTCTGTCAGAAAGAGGCAGCAAGAAAGGGGGGAAGAGGAAGGGCTATTTCAAAGCAGCAGCACCACATGTAGCCTGGGACCAGCTGGGGTGTCCCCAGGCTGCATGTGGCGTTTCAAAGCAGCAGCGCCACATGGAGCCTGGGATCAGCTAGGGACTCCCCTGCTGACCCTGGGCTCCATGCAGCACTGCCGCTTTGAAACGCTGTGTGCAGACTGGGGACACCCCAGCTGGTCCCAGGCTCCCCATGGCGTTTCAAAGTGGCAGCGCCAGGGAGTCCCCAGCTAACCCGGGGCTCCACGCGGTGCTTTTGCCTTTGAAATGTAGCAACAGCTGTTGCTACACTTCAAAGGTAAAGGCACCCTATCGACTAATCAAATAGCCAATGCAAAATGCCTCCACTATTCGATTAGTCTATTACTCCATATTTAACATCCCTATGCACTTCCATGAGTGCCATGTATGATTCCTACATTCTCTGGCGTGGACAGCCACCAGTAAGCGTGCATGCCAGGCAATCTAGGATGGTCAAAACAAGGTCCATGCTGACTCTGAGGACAGATATGTCCTCCCAGGACAGTCCCAGCCCTTTATAAAGGAACCAGGATGTCAGTATGGATGAGTGACACTCTCCAGGGCTCCCTGGACCATGGGCACATTTCATGTTTAAAAACATGTTGAGATCCACAGATTAAACTGCCAGGTAAGAGCTCAGCAGTGTTCACAGCCTGCTTCAATACGAAACAATGGGGCTGGAGATTTTGAAGAGGGCAGCCGATGCTAGAGAGTGGATTACATGAGTGGCCCTTCTTCATCTCCGGCTACACTTATAGGTTTTTGTGCAAAAACGGTGGTTTTTGCGTAAAAACCCGTGAAGCATCCACACCCCAGGCACACTTCTACGCAAGAAAATCTACAGTCAATTGACAGAACAGAGGGCTTTTTGCGGTGTAGGTAAACCTCCTTCTACAAGGCATAACTCCTTTTTGCGCTACAGCTCTTGGACAAAAAGGCATGTGTGGACGCTCCGCAGGGGTGTCTTGTGCAAAAAAAGCCTATCAGAAAAAGCACAGGTGAATGGCCATCAGAGCTTTCTTGTGCAAGAGCGTCCATGCAGTGTGGAAATGCGTTTTGAGGTGTGGACGCACTTTTGCGCAAGAAGTTTTTGCTTAAGAACTCTTCCATAAAAGACTTCTTGCGCAAAAACCCTGCAGTGTAGACGTAGCCTGAGTGGGCCGCAAGATTGTTGTAACCAAGACGGTCTCCTGGGATAGGGTAGTTTTGCTAAGTGCACCTAGAACTTGCGGGGTGTGCCGATCGAATTGTAGCAGCGCTATGATAGGATGCAGAGGGAGCGCACGGCCAATACTGTTTGCGATCAGTACGCACCTCGCTTCACATGCTCTTGCTTTACATGTGTGTCACGTTAGTAATACTGGTAGGGAAAAATCAACATGGATAGAAACCAGAGCAATCAGGCAACACTGCACATGGGCAACAGTATATAGAATGTCTTGCAGGCCACACACAACCCTCATGGCCCACAAGTTGCCCACCACTGATCTCGACTCTTAACTCCCATTGACTTTCCAGAATAGCTAGGCGCGTGGGCCCCTATGAAAACCGTAGCCGGTGCTCCTTGGACTACGAAACCTCTAGCAAGCAGCTTTGAGAAGGCCCCTTATGCTGGGCTCCTACAAAAGTTACAAAAAGGCTACAAGTCTCAGGGCACGGGGATGCCATCGTGGGCAGAGTAAGTCAGCAACCATCACCACCCCCTCCTCAGGGGCTTAGTCTTGAGACGTTAAAGGGCGTTGGATAGAATAAGGAAACATAACTGATAACTGCCCCCAGCCCTAGAACTGCAACCTCCGAAGCTCTCCGTGTTCTCAGAGGCCCTTATCTCCCACATGCCTAAGTTGCCTGAACAGGGTGGTAACTCCCTGCTTGCTGGGCTCCTCAAAGGTCTCTGTCCCAGCTACAGCACTGACAGGCACGTGGGGGAGTCTGTCAGTGCTCCTTCAGCCCCTGGTGCTTCCAGGCGGCTGGGCTGAGCCACTTGATCACACCCCTGCTTTAGGCAGCCAACATTAGCGGGGGCAGGTGCCACTGTTGAAGACACAAGCCCCCCTGGCAGGAGCTCAGACTTGTGCTGGGATCTCGGGTAACTCGCCGAACCTACGTCTTAGCTCGCCGGGCCTGAGGAAGGCAAAACGGCCCTGCACCTTCCCTGTCTCGTGGGGCACTGGGAGTGGATTATTGTTACTGGGCTGCCGCAGAAGGGCCATTGCAAGCAGCAGTCCAAGTGCCAGGTCTGACAGGGCCCAGGCCTGAACTCCTGACTCAACCAACACTCAAGAGTCAAGCAGCAAGACTGGAAACCAAGGAGAGCACCTCTGGCCTGGGCTGCCTGGTACTATCCCGGGTGCGTTGACTTGGAAGCAGAAGAACTTGAGGCTCCTACTTCTCCGGCTGCTAAGACACCGAGCGGCCAAACGACGCCGAGGAGAGCAGAAAGGCAGGCCCTGGCTAACACCCTCTCCTAGAGGCCGGCCGCTGGGTTAGGCTATTAAATGAATCAGGCTCCAAACAGCGAACACTCGGGTCTCATCGCAGAGGAATCCTGCCTACGCCGACCAGCTTTCCTCAGCCTAGTGACAGTTGCTCGGGGAGGCGGCGTTCCTACACCAACGGAAACC